TTTGTGTTGCGCAGCTTTCCAATGCATGGCAACGGTCTTGGTGGATATTTTAAACCTCTCGGCAGCTTCAAGAAATATGCCTTTAATCGGCTCTCCGAATGGATCGCACATTCCCAAAATAAATTCGACAAGTCTATAGTGCTCATTTGTTGTATGGTGTTTATTTGCCATTTTTTCAGTTTAGTAGTCGTGGATGAAAATAAATAAATAAGGGTGTATAAATAGAAATGAATGGTGTATTATAGCTGTGATTTTTGTTTTGTTTTTGGGGGAAAAATTGGTAAGAAGTTTTTGGGGGTAATTGGGTTGAATTAGGAGTGATCATGTTGGTGTTTTGGAGGGAACACGTTTAGTAGGAGAATGAAAAGTTTTGCACTGAAATTTATTTTTTATTTTAAATTTAAATTAGGAAGAATGGTTGTATTATGTGGTTAATTATAATTTTTTTAATTATCTTTAATTTAGGTGGTGAATTAGAAAAAAAAAATTATATTCTGAAAAAATTTCATTAAATTTATGTATTTTTTATCGTATTTATTTTTATTCTATGTAATGAATTGTACATGCATTATTAATTATGGATTTAACCTACTACATATATTTCTTAATTACATCCCATCTAAAATCTTGTACCCAGTTAAAGTGGACAAATTAGTTGGGATGGAATGAGTAATTTTTTGTTCTCTTTTGACTCGACTACGAATTAAAAGAAGAAAATAGTGAAAGGAAGTAGTGGCTTAACCATATGCGGAAAACAATTGTTGGAGACACAAAGTGGGCAGAATGAGGTTTTTTTGTGAGAAGTTTGAGAAGAAAAGAGCAACACAGTTTACCTCCTGCAACTATCATAAAGCCATTGGACAATTTCCACATGCTATTTTCAAAGGCGTGTTGCCTTCTTGATCAACCACATTTGCAGACAACAAATTAAAATATAGATCAGGAATATGGCGCACACCTTTTAGTGTAAGTGTGCAGTCAATATCAATCTTTACACGAATGTCACCTAGCCCAACAATGCTTGTTGAACTCTAGTTACCCATCTTAACACTACCAAAATCACCGGCCCTATAGTTCAGAAGTATTCCCTTCTACGAACACAATGGTATGATGCATTGTATCTACAAATCATTTTGATTTTGAACTATCAACATGATGACATTCACTAGTTGCACAAATCATCATCATCACTCTTAGAAGCAGTTGTTACTGTATTTTTATCATCTTCATTTTTCGGTGAGTCATTCTTCTTTCTTTGTTCTCTTTTCAGACGAAAAAATACTTTTTGATATAATCAGGCTTCTAAACTAATGGCATGTAATCACATTTTTGTTGTCACTGGATTCAGACATGTTTCTTAATCAAAGAAGCTTTATTACGAGCAGTCTTCAGCTTATAAAAACCTAATTTCTTCCACAAATCATGTAGGTCAAGACTCTTGTGAAACATAATTAAAAATACTGACATCAACTTATTGTTTGATGGTACCCAAATCCTTTATATTCAACTTTACCCATTCTCTCTCCAATTTACGTTATTTAGATGATTTAACCACACTACCATTAGATTGGTGATAGTTTCAATTGAATCATAGGTTTTCAAATAAATATAATTATTTGAGGCAATTTTATCATCAAATTTCCATTGCTCGACCCATAATGTGACAAATTAAACTCAGTCTATGATACCAAGTTGTAGAGTTTGAATGAGGTTTCTATGATACTCACAATGCCACACAATCAAGATGATCAACCAATTCAACAATCCAAATAGTCACACAATCAAATCATCAACTGAAAAGAAGCAATATTGACATAAAAATATTCACAACTAATAGAAAATATATTCCAAATTCCATACATGATTCATATGTGAAAAACTCTTTTGATGTGAATGATAAAAACCATAGGACCTTATAAGGAGTCCACCATTTACTTTTCTTATTGATAAATTGAGGAAAAATGAACCTAAATATGTCTTTAAAGGATTTACAATCCATAACAGTTGATGGCCTATAGAAACAAATACATTAACATCTTTTTTTTTTTTTTGTGTGTGTTATATTAAGAACTTGAATTGATGAGAATTCAATGACAAAAGCAGTATTCGGACATTATTTGAGTGAAAAAAAATCTCAATTTTTGTCACAGATTTTTAGGAATGCTTGGAGGAGATTGATAACACCAGAATCGATAAAGCCGAAATTGTTCACGGAAATATGCTACAAGTTTTTTAGTCTAGGACAACAGAAAAATAGGTAAAACAAGAACAATAATGCATTTTTAAATAAGTACAGAGGTGGACTTTGGTGCATTGATCTCGTAAAAAATAAATTAGTGAGGTTATAAACATCAATATTTAAAGTATTCAAAAGAGTTTTATTTTCATAGTTACAATTAAATAACTTGATATAAATTGTTTAAATAATATTAACATATTTTTTAAATATGAAGTACAATTGAGTAGACCTCCATCGACAATCGAGCTTCACGAGCATTGTTAGAAAAAGAAGGATGTGACATATCCTTTTACGAAATTAGCTGAAGTAGCAATAAATTATTATAAATCTCAAGCTACATATAAAATTTAGTTTTGACCATGCATTATATGAGAAATTCTCTTAGAAAGCTTTTAGAACTATACACTAGTCGTATTAGTTACAAAATCATGAGTTTGATAGCGCTTGAAAAATGTTACAATGATTCTAATACATCTATGCACTAATTAATGTCTAAAGATTATGATACTTAAATTACACTCACAATGAAAAATGATCTTATTAAATCCTACGAGGCTACAAAAAAAATGGTGCATCGCAGGACTAGGCTCCCAAGGGAGCACTGCTGAATTATTTTACGAAGATTCAATTCGCTAGTTGTCTATAGCACTCTATAGGCTCGCACTTGCCCTTATGTGGCAAACATGAAAACTCAACAAGAAATATTAAGACAAATGGAAACTGCTCTTGAAGGTAGAAAAAAATATTGATTGTAGTAATATTTAAGTTGTTAAGTCATTAGAATGTTATGTTTTATATCTTGTTATATATTGTGGTTGTTAGGCAAAAAATTTTAATTGTGTATATAAGCATGATGCCATTTTTATGTATGATAAGTCATAGTGTTATGTTTGATGTATAAAAACCTTCAAGGTTGATATTTGTTGTATTACTTTGACGATGTGACATATTTATCAAGTTGTTGTTGTCTAAGGTGATATTTGTTGTGTTACTTTGACAAAGTTTATATTATAGATGCAACGGAGCATTAAGATGATTTTACATGCATTTGTGACGGAGAGAGTTGTTAGTCGGGGCCCTCCCCAAGGATCATTTAACTGTCCGGGTTATCAATGAGAATAATGATGACGACAAAGTAGACTCTAATAAAACTATACATCTTTCTAAGACTAATAAATTTTCGCAAGTAATTAATATGAATGTTGAAATAGTCTGTGCGTAATGAACTGTTGGCATTTATAAAATAGATTGGTTTAATTAAATAGTATCAGATGTTGCCCTTATTTTTGTATCAAAGGACAATTTTTTGTATAGTGTTTAGTTGACTAAGTAGTTTTACAATGTACGGACGCATGGATTTTGATGTATTATGTTGAACTATTTTTAAGATGAACGACAAATATGATACTGATTTTAATGTGTACCTGATACTGTTTTTTGAATGCTCATATTTAAAGTGCATTTTGTTGTAATATTGTAGAATTATTTTGTAATAATATTTAAGAAAATTAAAATTGAAATTTAATAAATATGAAATATAATTTTTATTTTTTTTCTTTATTGAAATTTTATTATAATCCAATTTATTATTATATATTAATTAAAAGTATTAGTTAGACTCCAAATTTTTGAGGCTATGTAACTCTTCTTGGAAATTCTAAAACTATTTGAAACAGTTTCTAAAAATTATGTGGGCATTTGAAATAGGTTAATTTTGAAAAGCTGAAACTAATTAAAATTTTTGCCGGCGCTATTACTAATGAAGTTTTAGATTAAAATTCAAAAATTTTGAGACTATAATAGTCTTGAAAATTCCAAGACTAGTGAAAGTCTTCTTCCGATACTTTATAAAATAATTTTGAAAATTTTGACACTAGTTAAAGTCTTCTTTCCACGTTAAAAGGAAGTTGGTTTGGAAGTAGTCAAATTTCGAACCAATTTTTCGAGATCAAATTGTAAAATTCTAATAGTGAAATTTATATTATATTGAAAACTTATAGTATTCTAAGGTCTATGATTTGTATTAGTTATATTATTATGAAAAATATAATATTATATTTTCTTAAAAAATAAAAGTCGGGTATCATTTGAGTTTTAGGTATGAAATTTCGTGATCCCGACCTGATTTTTTCATTGGGTACTCTTAATCCGAAAAATTTGTACATATTTCTTTGAGAAATTAAAAAAACACAAATCCAATTAAATAGAATCCTATGGATTGGAATGTCCACCCCTAGTTTCGATAACAAATTAAATTAAAGCAAGGGATATGTTATTGTTCTGGTTTTGAATCCATTAATCAAACAGACAGACATGAACATGTATATAATAGTTTTGGCTTTATTGTTTGCATAGGGTAAATACATACAGTATTATTATTTATATACCTTTAACTACTTTTAAAGGACTGTCAGTCATTTGGATATATAATTAATTAATTAAATAATTTGGAACGACCCTACTAACTAACTGAGAGTGTCATGACTTGTATTGGTTTTCAGCAATGGACAAAAGAGAGAGGACGTTGAACGACGACATGAGCAGGCAAGGCAGCATATTACTTATTTAGTTAATGAGAAACACTAACTGAAATATATCAATAGGTAGGCAAGCACGTAGCGACATGATCAAGCCAAGATTTATCAGATGAGATGAAAGAGCATCTCCCTACGTATCATGGATGTGGTAGAAACCCTAACCCTAGCTAATTCAATTCCCAGACGACAGTTAAAGACATCATCATATATCTATATATGGAAAATGAAAATGATGAGTTAGAGATCGTAGGGCCCGTTGGGATCGAGTTGCTTGCAGATATTCAAATAGGTGAGGTAGAGTACCCGATTCTTGGCCCCTGTGCGGTGGTTTTTGGTGTGCTTGCAGAAGTACTTGAGCTGCTCCAGCGTGCAGCACCCGATCATCTGCCCCAGGAACAAGAAGAGCCAGTTTATGGACCTCTTCTTCGGGGAAATCACCGGCTTCAGCGAGTTCTCCTGCTCGCAGTATCCACACCGAGGGAGCACCGGACACTGCCATTCCTTGGGAGCTCTGTGACACATCTCCGCCTTGTGCTGCCGGAAATACCCCGCCACCTCCTCGAACTTCTCCTGCAAATCCAACTCCATCTCCAACTGCCGCTCGCACCGCCGGCACTGGACCGTACCGCGGATCACGGTTATCTCCTTCGAGACCAGGTAAGCCAGGCTGTGGACCGTCGCCCGACGGTTCGTCGCCCACTCGTACGGCGGGATGATGTTCGGCTCCTTCTCCTCGCCGGCGCTCCGTGCTGATCGCCGCCGCGCGACGACGGGAGGAGGCGGTGGAGAGTAACGGAAGGGGGAGAGAGAGAGGGTGAGCATATGGTTATGATCCCGATCGACGGTCGGGATGAAACAGCCGGCGGCGGCGATGGGTAAATCTGAGCCGTTGAAATTGCCCGGCTCCATTATCAAGCACAAATTAAAAAGCACGCGGACAGACAGTAGGAGCAAGAGAGAATGAAAGTTTGTTACAGTATCAGTACGTCGAGGAGGAACTGCACAATATATATATTCATATTCTGTACGAGTCGACTGACCGTCTTTGCCAGAAATATGCACACACTTATGGCCAATGGGATTCCGCCACCTGTCGACTCGAATTTATTCCCCCCCTCTCTGTATTGTTTGTTTTCTATGGGGCGCTATCTACTTATAGATACTCTCTCTTTCCCACAAATTTGTCCTTATTTTCGTCTGTTTAACATAATTTATTCATTTTTTTTTGAAATATAATTATACACTTTAATCTCATTTTAAATTTTATAATTTTTTTAATCTTAATTAAACTATTTAGTTATCTTAATCTTAATTCACAATTATTTTTATTATACAATAATTATTTTTACTAATACACTTCTTAATTATTTACTAATCACACTTTACCTAAATTCTCGTATCTAGGCCCATAATACATGGGACGGAGGGAGTAATATATTATTATTATTATTATTATTATTATTATTATTATTATTATTATTTATAATAAAGTGTGATTGTTGTCTATCGGAAATTAAAAGTAATACTTCATCGATCCCACATAATTTGTCCCTATTTTTTATTTTCGTCAGTCCCACATAACTTGTCCTTTTTTTTTGAAAATATAATTATATACTTTAATCGCATTTTAAATTTTAAATTTTATAATTTTTTTTAATTTTAATTAAACTATTAACTTATCTTAATCTTAATCTATAATTATTTTTACTAAATAATAATTATTTTTACTAATACACTTCTTAATTATTTACTAATTATACTTTATTTAAATTCTCGTGTCTACCGTAATACAACTATATTACATGAGACGATGGGAGTATATAGATTAGTGTATTTGGTTTCATTTTATCAATAATTATATTCTACAGCACTATCATATATTACCAGTACTATTAAACTTTTAGATTTGCCAAATTTATGAGCAATCTTTGTTAACAAATGAAGGGTCGCTCGCTTCTTTAAGATTTATCACTCAAACGATCAATTTTTTGAAATTCAAATTCAAATAAACATGCTTCAAACCTTCTCGAAAAAGATTATTATTATTATTATTTTTTTTAATATGCAATTCAGATCGTTATCAATAAAAATATACTGATTATTATAAAATATTGAATAAAAATAAAATTTCAATAAAAAATTAAAAGCAAATTACACAAACCAAACAAACCCATATACTTCGAATTTTTCTGGTTTTATCTATATATACAAATTTTACAATCTAGGGTGCGTTTGAGAATTAGCTAGTTTTTAGTTGTTACCTGATTCAATTAACTGTTAGGATCAATTAGCGGTTTGTATTAAAATGTTTGGTAAAATAACTGTTTGACATTAGCTGTTTATACATAAAATTATTATTAAAGATATTGATATGCTATTTTTAAAAATATTTAATTTTGTTCATTTTGGTTTGAAATTTATGAGAATTTTTGTTATTAATTATTGAAAATTATAAAATTATTATAAAATATTTTTTTTATTATTTAAATCTGAAAAATTATTTTTACTAAAAAATAATAATTTTTTATTAAAATTATGTAAAATATAAAATAATAAATTTTTCGTATATATTTTTATTATGTTAATTATTTTTTTAATATATATAAATAAATTAACAACCTTAGTTTTTTCTATTTGATTTAGTTTTAAAATTTTATATATTTTACAAATAAAAATTAATAATAGTAATTATTTTAAATTTACAAAAATAAAAATATAATTTAATAAATTAAATAAATTAAAAATAATTAATAAATATTGCTATAAAAATATATTTATATGTATAAAATAAATAATTAAATTTTAAGGATAAATAAGGAATAATCAAAATTAAAATGAAAAGACATACGAACTTTTCAGAAATTAGCTTTTTTATCCAAAAAGCTTTTTCAAACAGCTAATTTACCAAATAGCTAGATTAACTTTTTAACTGGTCAAACAACTAAAAAATTATTCAATAAGCTAAAAAACTCTTCTAAAAGTTATTTCTCAAACATCTTCCTAATGAAAATTCTAAAGAAGATATGCGTTTGGATGTATATAGGAAATATTTTTGTATTTTGAGTTACTTTTAAAATATTATTTTAAAATTAAATAAAAAAAATGCTTTTAATGTATTATTTTAAATAAATAATATATTTTTAAAATAATATTTTAAATAAAAAGTATATATTAATATAATATTTTGTAATGAATATTTATATTTAGAGAAAAAACATTTGAAACACAACTCAATAGAATATTGGTATATTATTATCTAAATTTGGTCATAATACAATACAATCCCAGTGGTAGTCAATCTCTCTCTCGTTTATGGCTTTGCTTCCACAAGAACCGCGACAAACACTCCATGCAAATAATAAATAGCTAAGGTGAATCCGATCAAAATAAATAAATAAATAGCTAAAGTGAGAGTGGGTTACTTTGGTGCAATGCAATTCATATATAAATAATAAAATACCTAATCTAATCTTCACAAAACAGTTGTTTTCTTTTAAAAAATGTCGATTCCTACTCAAAGTACCCAATTATTGTATAATTCTTGATCTTGATAGGAACCGTCACTTGTTTGTTCACATTCAACTCTCCGCAATTGCTAACCCACTGCAATTTGAATGGTTTGGGGTGGAGTGTTGTTAGCAAATTTAATTTTCGAACAACAAGTTCACTTCCAATATTTGTGCAGCTCCCACGATCAATAATGAGGCTACACACTTTGCCTCCAATTATGCAACGAGTTTGAAAGAGGTTTTTTTGTTGTTCCTCATCAAAGGTCCTTGACATAGTGCTTAAGGCTCGTAAGGTAACCAAACTCAAACCAACACCGGAGTCAGAATCATCATCCGTGTTATTTTCCTCATGTGCTCTTTGATCAACCCCCTCCTCATTCTCAGATTCCGTCTCGTATTCCCCAAACTTGCTAAGGATCATCGTTTTCTTGTTTGGGTATTGACTTGCAATGTGGCCTCGACCTTGACACTTGAAGCAAATGATATCTCGATTCCTCGGCTTCTCCGGATCAGCTCAAACATATTTTTTCCTTGGCGTGTCATCCTTGATAACATCTTTTCCTTTACCGAACCCTTGAGCCACTTGGGATTTGTCATCCTTCTTGGTATAAGTTGGTGTGAAGGGTTTCGTACCAAATGTTTGTTGTTTGCCCTTACGCTTCAATTTCTTCTCAATTGTAATAGCACGTTCCACCAATTCATCAATATCATCAAAACGATACAATCTCACTTTGTCGGCAATGTCTCGATTCAGCCCAGTCAAGATCCTCACTACCGTGGCTTCTTGACTCTCTCGAGCATCAGCCCGCGTTAAAGTCACCTCCAAATCCTTGTAGAACTCATCGACTGTCCTATTTCCTTGCTTCATCGATTGCAGTCGAACATGAAATTCTTGCATATACGAACTCGTCACAAATTTAGCTCGCATGACACGTGTCAACTCCTCCCATATTTTAATCACCGGTGCTCCACCTTGCCTCCAATTGAGGCAAATATTGTCCCACCAATGAATAGCATAATCTTTGAACTCGGAGACCGCAACTCGGACTTTTTGTGGACCATCCAAATCTTGACAATCGAAGATCAGCTCAATCTTCCGCTCCCAATCAAGATATACTTCTGAATCATATTTCCCGTAGAAGGCTGGGATTTGGAATTTTATAGAGCGAATTGGATTATTGGCATCCCTCCTATGTGCCCTTCGTCGTGCTCGAAAGGGAACATTGTCCTCTACTTCTCCATCATACTCAGTCATATCGCGATCATCTTCTAGAGGATCACGAACTCATTCATGCCTTGAAGTATTCCCACGATGTCGTCGTCCTAAAGGTGGAATGCCATTGTGCGGGAGTGGAGGGACTGCATTCCCTTCTACTTTTGATGTTTCCAATTTATTTATTCGGGCATGGAGTCTCTCAACCTCATGTCGAAGTACCCATTGTACTTCCACCATCATATTCTTCACGAACATTTTTGGGTCAAAGCTTGATATGGATGTCATATCATGTTCCTCGTCACTTTTCTCACCTGCCATAGAAAATATATAGTGGAAATATATATATACATGGTTAGATAAATGATTTCCTCACCCTCTTATGTATACCCATGTAATGTACCTCTCCGTTTTACACACGCACTCAAATTTCACGGTCCTTGGTAAGCCCCTCGAGTTATAGCCAACTAAACCTCACGGAATATAACCAATATAAATTGACGCGTATACCCCAAGAAGCCAAATTCAGCAATAGCAACGAACCAACAATGAAAGCACAACCGCAAGAAAAACCTATATCCACAAATAAAAAAGTGCATACAATACTCAAAATCACAATATATTTCAAAGAGGGTTTTTTTTTTTTTTTTGCAGTATTTTTTTTTTATTTTTTCTGCAGTATTTTTGCAGTATTTTGTCCAACAATGATAATGCTACTACCAAAATTTAAAAGATCTTAACATAATTTAACAATATGAAATAAAAGACTACTAATACTACCGGAATAAGAATTCCGATAAAAACGGGCTCTGATACCAAATTGATGATGCAGCCCTAGTAACTAAGGTATACTAATTGAAACTTAAAACTAAATTCGAATGAAAACTAAGCAAATAAAGAGAGATAGTACTGGTGTCCGATTCTTCAATCGATCGGATGTGAACTCAAGCGTTGCCTACCCACCACCTCTAAACCAATGGAGACTCGAACGATTTGGCTAGAAACTCCGGTCGGTTTCGAAAGCCACGAACCCAAGGAATCAACCCAAGGGCTCGATTTGAAAATGATACGCATATGCAAAGGTAATTCTCGCTCACACACTAATTCCAATATAATTGAATAAAGAGAAAAACTTTAATTGATATAAGTTTCAAAGTGTCTTACAAGTGAAACCAAGTGTCTTATTT